CCGTACTATACATATTTGTCCTCTGTTTCTCAGAGGGTGGATCACCTCTTCCTTCATAAGTCCACCGACCATCATTTCCTATACCACAGCAATATTCCCACCTTATACCATCTACTTGTTTTAAAATAGTCCAACACAACATTGATAAATATGGCTGACACGTAGTATAGTTTCCCTATTTTTCTCTTTTGATTAAATCTATTTTAGCCTTAACTTTGTCCAAGATCATGATTACCAACTCCGCTCCTTTTTCCCTAACAAATTCTACTCCCAACCTTTATTTTCATGTTTTTGTATATCTCTTATTTCCTATCTCTCCTGACCTTGTAGTCACTACTGTGCCCCGCTTCTACTTGACCTATCCCGACCCCCAGCAATCCCTCCCTTATCCTCCCATTCCCCTAAATCTAAACCTCCCCTCCAAAGAGCGCTCCCTATCCCCTTAGCATTTTTATTTCTTTCTGAATTTAGAAAACTTTTATACTCTTCTGGATACATATGTATTGTTCCCTCCTTAACCCATTCCTGATGAAAGTAGCTTTCCAAGACCCCCAGCCCTCCTCCCCATCTAATTCCCCTCACATCTTATTTGTATATGATAATTACTCTTTTTAGCTGTTCCTAAACAGTTGTGCTTTTTGAAGGCATATCATGCTCAGGTCTACCCCAATCTTTCTTACAAACTACCCAATTACTAAGAACAATCTTAGACACACGTTTTACATTCTACATACATAAAAGGTAAAAGCTCTGTCCTTATTGAGTCCCTTGTAATTAGTCTTTAGTAAGTACCTTATATTTCTCTTTGCACTTGTATGTCAAATCTTCTATTAAGTTTAGGTTTGTTTTGTTTTTTTAAACAAAATGCTAAAAGTGTGATAATGCATTATATGTCCTTTTTTTTTTCATTCAAGATTATGCTTTGCTGGGCGTGATATTTTTGGCCAGAACCCCCAGTGTTTTGCTCTTCAGCATATAGTGTATTTTAGTGTCACCACTGTTGGTCTTCTGTGATTCTAACTGTGGCACCGCCATATTTAAATTGGTTTTTTTTTTTTCTTGTTGCACATAATATTTTCTCCTTGAGCTGGAGGTTTTGGAATTTGACTATGATATTCCTGTGGGTTTTCCTCGTAGGATCTCTTTCAGTTGGTGATTGGTGCATTTTTCCTATTTCTACCTGCCCCTCTTGTTCTAATGCTTCAAGAAAATTTTCTTTAATTATTTCTTGTATTATTATCTCAAGATTCTGGTTTTAGATCATAGCTTTCAGGTAATCTGATTATTCTTGTTTTCTCTTCTTGATCTGTTCTCCAGATCAGTTGTTTTTCTTATGAGATGTTTCACATTCTCTTCTATTTTTTCATTCCTTATATTTTGTTTTGTTTCTTGGTCTCTTATAACTTTATTGGCTTCCCGTTGCCCAATTCTGATTTTCAAGAAGCCATTTCCTTCCTTAAGATTCTGGATCTCCTTTTCTAATTGGTTGACTTTCTTTTCATAATCTCCTTGTTTTACTTGGATTGTTCTTATTTTTTTAGTTGTTTCTCAATCTCTTTTATTTGATTTTTTTTAAAGTCTTTTTAAAGTTCTCCTGTGAATTATTTTTGGGCAGGTGACCATCTGATGTTACTCTTTGGGGCAGGAGAGGGTTTTTTGCTTCAGAATCCTCTTCTGAAGATAAACCCCTGGTTTCTCTATTCCCACAGTGATGGTCTATGGTTGGATTCTTTCTCCTTTGGCTGGGCATTTTTTTGATAATAGTTTAGTTTTTGTAATCACCTCTAGGCCGGGGGTATGGAGGACAGTGCCCCTGGCCTCATATCCTCCTTCAGTTCTCCCCTCTAACCTTGAACCCCAACCAAGACTTCCAGCCTCCTGCAAGTGCCCACCACCGGTGGCATTCCCCACTCCACTGCTTCTGCACTCACCAGGCATGTTCCGGCTCCTTCTCACCCCTGTGGGGTCTTGACGGCACAGCTAGGTCTGGCTTTCCTTGTCAGCAGAGTTCCCTCAGTCTTCCCCAGCTCAGACACCCACCTCCCCTCAGCGTCCCCTGGTAAAAGTTCCTGTGCCTGGGCCAAGGCAGCCTCCCCAACCAGATGACCCAGGGGCTTCTGGTTTGTTGTTTAAGCTGACCAAGGGCCTGGCCTGGAAGTGTGTAGTCCTCATAGGGACCAAAGCTCGTCCTGGGACTTTGCTTCAGATTTTTCCAATTGTCCCAGGAGGGCCCCTGTTCTGCTCTTTCTCTTGTTTACTTTTACCTCTCTGTGTTAGGCCAGAGGCACTATTTTATTTCATTTGTGGGGGAAATCCCGAGGGCTTGGAATTTTTTTACCTGCTCCGCCATCTTCCCAGAATCCTGTCTCGAAAGCACGTCTTCAGTGTTCATGGTGTGCCCGGCACTGTGCTAAGCTCTAGGGATACAAGAAAACAAGACCTTCCCTGCTCTCAAGAGGTTTCCCTTCTAAGGTGAAGGGAGAAGGGGGAAAGATGACGTGTTAAGAGGAGCCACAAAGCAGTGGACGAGAAGGTCTGGAGCTGATGGTCCAGCCCAGAGCAGTGTGGGACGCCGTAAGGCAGAGGCTCCCTCTCCAGAGCCCGGGTGGCTCCAGGTGATAAGAGAATGAGGGTGAAGCACATCGTGCACGCTGGCAGCAGATGCAGATGCTTGCCAACGGTGTCTCTGGATCCCAAAGAAGGGACATTGGCGAAGCACACAGTGTGCCCTTCCTTCTACTGACCTCTGCTCTTGGCCAGTTCCCTCTTTTGTCATCTTTGTGTGTTTGCTCGGTTTAAGGTAAAACCTCAGGGTTGCTTTCGTTGGTGTTTTGGAGCAATCTTTCATATGAAAGTGGTTTGCCATTCTTTTGAGAACCCTTCTCTGTTTCTATAAGCAATCTCTACATCACATAAATAAGGTGCCATGACTCGCCTGCCCCTGATCGAGCTCTGAGGGTCACTCTGACCACAGCCTGCCTTGGACAGGCTCCTCTGGTCCCCCTCACCTCCACAACCCACCCATTTACCTCACGTGGGGGGGAGGGAGAGGCCCCTGCATGGCTCTAGATCCTCCCTTTCCTACCCAGAGGCCAGTCCCTGACACTTCCCCTGAGCTGATGAGGTGGCAGCATGAGGCCTTTTGGAGTTACCCATGTTTCTGTAAAATACACCAATAAAGCAAGTGATGCCCATGAAAAGAAAAACAAAAACCTTGCTTAAAAGAAAGACAAGACCTTAAGCAGGTAGTTAGGGTGAGGCTCAAGCTGTGAGCTCCTTGAAGGCTGGAGCTGTTCTTGCCTTTCTTTTTGTCATTTGGCACGGGTCTGCACATAGTCAGCCCTTCACATTGGCTGGAGTTACAGCACAAAGCTAGGTGTACGCTTTCTAACTCGAAGAGACAGCATGTAAGGAGGGATGGGAGTGGAATGGGGAAGAGGGTGGGCCCTGAAGGAAAAAGAAGCCATCACCACATCTTTGCTCCCTTTCCAGGAACCAGACCCAGAACTGGCCAGAGGGATGGGAGGAGAGGCTTGGGTCGCTACCAGGGAGGGTGCCACGTAGCAGGCTCTTAACAAGTGCTGTTGACTGTTGAATGAGAGAGGAGAGTAATCAGGAAAGGTCAAAGGTGGGGGTGGGCACCAACAGCTAGCTAGCCCCTGGCCCATCAGATGTTCTGTAACAGCCCTTTAAGAAAAGAGAGAGAGAGATTATTATTATAAATTGTATAAATATTTATTTATAAATATTATTTATTTATTATTATAAAATTATAAATGTGATTTTAAAATTCTTACTGATAGCTTTTATTTCATACCACTTTTCTTACCAACTATAGCCTCCCATCCCCCATGATGACCTGTCATTTGTAACAAAAAATGAGTAAAGAAAGGGGAGGGGGAGGCAGTTCAGCAAAGCTAACCTGCCCTCAGCGAGTCTGGCAGGGTCTGTCTGTCTGTCTGTCTAGTGTTCTCCACCATTACCCTCCTCCCCCAGCAAAGCAGGGGGAGGAATGTGGCTGCACTTCGTTAAAAATGTGTCTTTTTTGAGGCTTTTTCTTTCTTACATCCTCCTAGTTTTCCCCAGTATCCTCCCCAAGAGCCAGCCCATAGAACAAACAATATTTTAAAGAAAAAGAGAAAAAAAAATCACAAAACTAATAGGTGGGTTAAAAATACATGTGGGGCCAAGCCAGCCTTATTCTCACTAAGTCTGGACCATCCACTTTGGATTTTTGGCTTTCCATTTACATTGTATCATTGTCGCCATAGAAATCCTTTTCTTGGCTTGTCTGACTTTTCTCTGCATGCATTCATACAGTTCTTCCTAGTGTTTCTCTGGGTCCTTCACACCCTTGAATTCACATACCACATCTTGGTTAGTCTCTCTTCGGTCATCAGGCAGTTACTTTGTTTCCAATTCTTAGCTATTACAAAAAGTGCTGTTATAAATATGTTGGTAGGGGCAGCTAGGTGGTGCAGTGGATAGAGCATCGGCCCTGAAGTCAGGAGGACCTGAGTTCAAATCCAGCCTCAGACCAAACACTTGACACTTACTAGCTGTCTGACCCTGGGCAAGTCACTTAACCCCAATTGCCTAAATAAATATGTTGGTATATAAAAGGAATTTCTTATCACAGGAATAAGCCTGTAAGGACCAGCGTCTCTAGCATTTTAGGTGATTTATTTACATAATCCCCAAATGGTGGCACCACGTCACCGCTCCACCAACAATGTATTAGTGTGCCTGTCTCCCCTCCACTCCTCCATCATTGACAGTTGCATGGTCTTTGCCAGTCTGCAGAGTGTGATTTTGATGGGCATTTCTCTTATTATTTGTGATTGCGAATACTTTTCAGTTCTTCCTTTGAACCTTTGGCCACTTTGCTGGGGAACAAACCACATGGGTTTTGGTCTGATAGATTGTGGCCCAGATGACCGGGTTGGGAAGGGGGATGCTGCTGTTGCTGCTGTCCGTAGCTTCCTGTTTCAACTTTGCAGCCGGGCCAGAAGGATGAAAGAGGTGGAAAAGCTGGAAAGCGTCCGAGAAGACTGGTGAGTGAAGAAGGCACGGCCTTGGCGTCAGCCTCGGGTCTCCCCTCTGTCCCTGCCCTCCCCTCTTGCAGCCCTCAGACACCGTGATGGGTCCTGTGTCCTTCAGACTGGCTGTGGCGCCAATGTCTCTGCTCCTGGAAGGAGAAGGCCTGGGGGTGGGAGGGCTTTGTGTGAGAGGGACGCTGTCTATCCCTGCCTCGGTTTCACCCATTTTAGATTCCGTGACCTCTGAGGTCCTTCCTCACTCAGATTCTACCAGTAACAGAACATTCAAAGTCTTTTGGGCTCGTGGGGGAAGGGGGAATAAGCATTTATACAGCCCCTTCTATGTGCCAGACACTGTGCTAGCATTTTTTACAGTTACATCCTCACAGCAAACCTGGGAAACAGGTGCTGTTATGGTCCCCATTTCACAGCTGAGGAAACTGAGGCAGATAGAAGTGAAGTGACTTGCCCAGGGTCACACAGCTAGGAGGTGTCTGTGGCTGGATTTGAACTCGGGTCCTCCTGACTCCAGGCCCAGCCCTCTCTCCACTGCCCCCCAGTCATCTCTGGGGGATCTTTACTTCACAAACGTTGTTACACCAGGCGGGTGTCCTTCCACCTTGATCCAGGGAAGCCTCGCCCAGCAGCCAGCAGGGCCTTCATGGAGGCGAATGTGGCCCCCAACCGGGACGTGAGAAGGCAAGGGTCTCAGAGCAGCCTGCACCCCAAAGCCCCCTTGCTGTAGGCAGTGCACTTCCTCCTCCTGTACACACGATTCTCGTCATCTGCTGGTCCCCCACCGTGGTCACACACAACTAACCGGCAGCCGCTTCCCAGGGGCTTGGGCGCCAGGCCCAGGGGCCACCCACCTAGTACAGAGGTGCCCTCTATCCCCAAAGGAAAGTCAGTGGGTTTGGGACAGCCAAAGTGGGTGTGATGGCCATGTCATTGAGAGAGGAGAAGGGCCCAGAGAGAACCTCCTGGGGCGGGGTCATGAATGGTGGCCACACAGTCTGGGTATGGGGACATGGATGGGGGAGGTACTGGCTGTGAAGCCTGAGCTGCCTAGAGGCTCACTTCCTCCCTTCCTGCCTTAGGGCTTGTGATGCTGGAGCCGAGGACCAGAGCCTCCATGGCGGCCCCAAGAGCTGCGAGCTTTTCTTTGACAGCCTCTTGGCAGAAGCCCAGAAAGTCAGCCCCGAGAGCTCGCCCTCAGCTGACAGGACACAGGTGGGTGTCAGGTTCTGGTCCTGGGCCCTCAGGCCTGATCTGAGGAGATGAAAGGAACAAAGTTTCACATTTGGCTCAGAAAGGCAGAAGAATGAGATGGGAGAGATATGGCAGAGAGATGGCATTGTTCTGCCTAATGGTGTGGAGGCTAGAGGCTGGCCTGGTCAGCGGGGCCAGAGGGTGTCCTTCACAGAGGGAGGCTAGAGGCTGGCCTGCTCAGTGGCCAGGGGCGTCTCCTCCACTGAGGGAGGCTGGAGGCCAGCCTGGTTAGCGGGGCCGGGGGGTGTCCTTCACAGAGGGAGGCTGGAGGCCAGCCTGGTCATCTCCCGTCATTTCTGGGTACTGTGCTTAGGAAGGATGCCTAGAACCTGCAGCATGTCTAGGGGGTGCTGCTTGATCGTCAGGCCAGGACTTGTGATGATGGATTGGTTGGAATGTTTATCCTGGAGAAGAGAAAACTCAGCCAGCAGAGCCGTGTCCCCATATTTGAAAGAGCAGGTACCCTGGAAGGGCTTAGCCTCGCTCTGCCTGGCCTCCAAGGTACACGTTGAGGCTCCAGGTCCGGAGTGACGTGGCCTGCGTGTCCACCCTCAGAGGGCTCCAAGCAGCTGGGTGTGCAGGGAGCTGGCCCAGACATGAATTGCTTTGTGTTGCTCCTGAGGGGTTCCCCAGCTTTGGGCCCCATGGCAGCGAGCTCTGCGGTCTCATCCCTGGCCCAAGGGATTGTCACCAAGCTCCTTCCTGTCACAGAGGCAGGAGCCTGGGCCCAGGCCAAGAGCCCGTGGGGGAGGGCAGTCTTTGGGGCTTCCTGGGAAAGGACCTTGCCCCGGGAGATACTTCTGTTTCCAGGGACCACGATGATGCCAAGGCTGAGGGTGCCTCCCAGAGACAGCCCCCAGCAGAATGTCCTGGGTGCCTGGGGTGCACCCTGCTGGTTCCTCGGGCTCTCCTTCTGGGAGTATGTGTCCTTGAGGGTGACAGCCTGGGGGAGGGGCCCACTGACTGCCTCAGTTTTCCTTATGGGCCTTTTGCAGGCTGACGTAAGCATCAAGCTCTGGAAGAATGGTTTCACCGTGAATGATGAGTTCCACAGTTATAGGGATGGGGCCAGCCAGCAGTTCCTGAATGCCGTCAGAAAGGGGTGAGTGACCAGGATGCACCGTCCCCATGTGGGCGTGTCCGGGGAGCTGGTCACTGGGCATCGGAAAGAGGGCCTTTGTTAATGACCTTGAGTGCAGGGAGGCTTCCTCGTCTGCTGCATCCCTCCTTGGAGGGACGGGGGAAGGAAGAGAAGTCCTGCCGAGAATGCCGCATGCGGGCCCAGGGATCTGTGGCGCAGTCACCAGCGGAGAGGCCCAGAGAAGGGCAGGGGCCGGGTCCTGCCTGCATCTCACAAGGGAGATCTCTGCTGGGCTGGCAGCCAGCCGGGAGAGATTAGAACCCAGGTCCTCTGAGAAGAGTTGGTGGGGCCTGGTGCAGAGTAGGCCTTAGAAATACCTGGTGGCTGAGGGAGGGATTGTGGGCCCTGCCTCTGGACACTGGGAGGGCTAGATCTAGGAGGCCAGAGCCTCAGTCTCCCCTCTGAGCCTGGCTGAAGGGGGATTTCTCTCCCTCTGGGGACAGCCAGGGGGTGCCACAGTGACTTCATCGATGGGTTGAGTCAAGGAGTCCTGCATTCAAATCTAGCCTCAGACACTTCCTTACTGTGTGACCCTGGGCAGGGCCATTTCACCTTTGCCTGCCTCAGTTTCCTTATCTGCAAAATGAAGGGTTGGGCTCCAAAGCCATTTCCAGCTCTAGACCTAAGATCCAGTGATGCTCAGCCACTGGCCTGCCATATGTTCTGCCTCCCCCTCCCCCCCCAACCCGTGTGTCTGAGTCACTTCCTTGTCCGACAGTAGTAATAATAACAGTGAGCGTTTCCATAGTGTTTCCTGGCTTTCCAAGCACCTCTCAAGTATTAGCTCAGTAATAATAATAATAATAGTAATAATAATAGCTCACATTTCTGTAGTACCTGCTGTGGGCCGGGCCCATGCTAAGTGCTCTTTATCTGTCCTATTCGGTCCTCACAACAACCCGATGAGGAAGGTGGTATTCTTATCCCCATTTCACAGTTGAGGAAATTGAGGCACAGTGGAGAAACGGCTTAACCAGGTCACTGATTGCCAGCTAGGAAGTGGCTGAGGCTGGATTCCTGACTCCACACTCCGTGGTCTGTGCCCTGGGGTGCCACCAGCTGCCTAATTATAAATTCCTCATAAGCGGAGCCTGCGTTAGTCTGTCAGCATTGATTAAGATGTACTGTGTGCCTGGCACTGTGCTAAGAACTAGGGATGCAAAAAGAGGCAAAAGACAACCCCTGCCCTCCAGGAGCACACAGTCTGACGGGGGCCACACGTGCAAATGAATACGTACAAAGCCAGCTACAGACTGGAGAGATGGGAGGAGGAACAGAGGGGAGGCCCTGGGGAAGCCGTCCTATTGGAAGGGGCATTTTAGGGGCCATAGAAAGGAAGCCAAATGCACATTCTAGCGGGCAGTCAGAAGGCTGGGGTCACTGGATCAGAGGAGACGGCGGGTGATGAAAGCTCTGAAGGCCGAGCGGAACCGTGGGTGCTTGGTCCTGGGGCAGTGGGGTTTTAGCATCTTCATGGGCTCCCATCACCCAGAGCCCCTCCTCTCCCTGCTGCAGACAGTCCTCGCCCTCCCCACTCCGGGCCTCTCTGCCCTGAGTCTCTCCTCCTTTCAGTGACACCATAGTGCACTCCCCTCCTCAAATCCCCCTTCACCAGGCTCGCCCTTGCCCTTCCAAGCTTGCTCCCTCATGCCATCTGGGCACACCGTGTTCGGGTTCCCTGGCCCACCAGGCCTTCACTGGGGCTGGCATTCAAGACCCCCCCCCCACCTACTCAACCCCATTGAGTCTCTCATTTCACCAGAAGCCCTGCCCTGTTGCCTCCTCCTGGGGGAGCACTTTTGGGGTACAGTGTCCCCTGCACCTGGGCCCCCCGGAAGGCCACAAGAGCAGACCCATGGCAGCCGTGGTGGGCTTCGTTTTAACTTTTGGTATTTTCCTGGGTTTTCTTCTTCCCAAGAGAGCTGCCTTCAGAGCTGCAAGGGATGTTTGACAAGGAGGAGGTGGACGTGAAGGTGGAGGATAAGAAGAAGGAGGTGTACGTGTCCAAGAAGCCCGCCTTCCAGCCCTTCTCAGGGCTGGGCCACCGGCTGGGCAGGTAGGCAAGGCGGTGGCAGGCCTGGCCCCAACCGCGCTCAGGGTGCTAGCTGGTGTGTACTGCTCTCCTCTGTCTGGATCCATCCCTCCCAGGCCCTCCCCAGACAGCCACACCTTGTGCCCAACGCAGGTGGGATCAGTGGAGTGGGGTGCCTGCCTCTGCAGCCCCCGCACCGTGCCACCTTCACTCTTTGTGGGTGCGTGTGCTGAGGAGGGCAGGGTGGCAGACGCCCCTGTAGCCCCCACCCCAAGGAACAGCGTGTGTTCTGGGGCTCACCACATTGCCTCTTCTCCCATAGTGCTACCCCAAGAATAGTTTCCAAGGTCAGCAGCAGTGACTCTGGGAACCCAAAGGCTCTGATCTCCGTCCCCTTGAACCCTTTGGAACCTATCACCAGCATCCAGATCTGGTTAGCTGACGGGAAGAGGCTCGTGCAGAGATTCAATGTGTCTCACAGGTGTGTCTTCTGGGATGGAGTGGGGCGGGGCAGGGGCCCAGGCTTGGGACACTCATTTATTTAACTCAGCCTGAGAGAGAGAGAATTTACCAGAATTTACTGGCCCAAAGAAAGGGTAGAGCCCTTCACGCAGTGGGAATCATTGGCCAAGGTGGCCGGGAAGCTGCTGCTCTACAGGAGGTCTCGGTGTCTCACCAGAATTTGGAGCATGGCCCCCCACCCCCAGGCTCCATCCCCTGTCACTTGGTGTATTCAGTGCCCCCTCCCCCCAGGCTCCATTACCCCCTCATATAGTGTATTCACACACACCCCCAGGCTCCATCCCCCCTCACACAGTGTATTCACACACCCTGAGGCTCCACCCCCTCCCCACAGTGTGTACACCCCCATCAGGGCTCCATCCTCTTTCATGCAGTGTATTCACACATACCCCCTAGGCTCCATCCCCCCTCCCACATGCATTCATTATTCTGAGGAAGGCCAAGCTCAGAAGAGGCACCCCCACCACTATGCTCAGCTGAGGGGTGATAGGCTATGCCCTCCCTCCCCCAGCCCTGTGCAGCCACTCTGGAGGAAGGGGCCCCTTCCAGCCAATCCCCAGCCTCCCTCCTCATCAGCATTTTAGAGTCAAGAAGATGCAACTGACATTCCGTTGTTTCCATAGCAACCATCTCAATTCCATCTGCTCTCTGAGAGACCCTATAAACATAATGGACCAAATGAATAAAATTAAAATTGCATGATGATCTCATTAGATATAAAGCTTCTGACAAATGCCATGCATTCTTCTGTAACAGCAAAAAGGCTTTTCCTTAAGATAGATAGGTCATCTATACCCAACACCAGGCAAGCCAAGGATTGAGGAATGGGTAGACGGCACTCAGCATCCTTCTCTAGGAAAAAGATATTTCTTTAGGCGGGTTCATAGTCTGTGTCTAAAACCACAAGCTAGCATTAGAGGTAACAGAGAAACAGTAGAGGCCTTTCCAGTAAGATCAGGGGTAAAGTGCCTATGATTGCTACACATTTTTTTCATTTCTAGACATGCTAGCTATAGCAATAAGACAAGAGGAAGAAATTGAGAGAATGTAGATTCACCTGAAACAATTTCAGCCAAAAAGCAGAAAATAAAATAAGCCTGAACCCAATCTGGGAGTCCACCTCCCAAGACATGTACAGGAAGCACAGAATCCAAGCAGAAGGCACTGACTGTAGCAATAAAGAGCTGCCTAAAGAATTAGAGATGGTCTTGGTTCATGGTTGGGCTGTTCCAACAGCAAAAATGACAGGACCTAAATTGATGTACTCATTTATTCAGTGCCACACCAATCAAATGACTAAAACCTTCTAGAGATAGAAAAAACTGTCACAGTATTCCTGGAGAAATTACCCGGTCAAGGACCCCGAGAGAAACAATGAAGAAAGCAGGAAGGGAAGGGGCCTAGCAGGGCACTATCTCAAACTACTACCACAAAGTAGCAATCATTGGTTAAAAAAACAGCAGCATGAACACTTGGTACTTAATAGCTGTATGACCCTGGGCAAGTCACTTAATCCTGTTGCCTAGCAAAAAAAAAAAATAGGAACATGGGTCCATGGGACGAACTTGATGCACATTGTACAGAAACGAATTAACCTCATGCCTAACTGGGGACTCGTATAATCCCCAACTCCTGGAGAAAAAACACTCGCTGCCACCCAGCCCACAGGGAAGACCAGGTGGCAGAAATGAGATTAGAACAAGATCCCACGCTGTATACGTCAGTCAGCTCCAGGCGGCTACCTGACCCAGAGGAGAGGTCACACTGTCCGCAAGCTGGAGGAGAAGCAAGGGAGGACACACACTTTGCCACTGTGGACAAGAGTCCTTGACCAAAGCGGGCTTAGAGAGGGTCACCAGAGAGAAAGTGGAGCAGCTCCCACACAAACAAAACTAAAGCACATAAAATCAGAAGGAAAACTGGCTGGGGAGATCTCTGCAAACTGTCCAGGGCCCATAAGGAGCCTCATGATTGACAGCAGACGTGGCCAAAGGTGACAGAAAGGCAGCCCTCCAAGAAGAGACCCAAGCTGTCAACACCATGTGAAAAAGTGCTCCAGATCACCAGGGTGAGAGAAGTGCCCAGTAATGCTGGTCGTCATCATCATCGTCATCATGATGATCGCTTTTATTGAGCGCTTTAAGGCTTGCACACACTCCACAACTTTTCATGTAACCCTCACAACATCCCTGGTTTACAGATGAGAAAACTGAGGTAGGCAGGACTGTAGTGACGTGCAGTGTAGACGCAGAGGCACCCAGCTGGTCAGTGTCTGAGGCCTGAACCTGCCGCACCACCTGACTGCCTCTGAGGTCCCACCTCATACCCATCAGATTGGTAAAGGGGCTGACAGAAAAGGAGAAGGCCACATGTTGTGGGGAGGGCCGGGGGAGAACAGGTCTGGGGTGGGTTTGCCTCGTCTGGCTACGCCTGTCAGTTACAAGGAAGTTTGGCTGGTTTTCTTTGTTGGGGGAGAGAGAGACCCTTTAAGCGAAAGACAGAAAGGGAAAAGAAGCCAGTGTGCTAATGCACAGAAAAGAACAGAGGGATTCAGAAAGAAACAGGCGAGCAGCTTTGGAAAGGTGGTGTTGAATTTTATTTTGGCCTCTTTGGTAATGGAGATTTGTGCTTTCATTTCCTCTGTTTCTCTTCCTCCTCTACAGACAGAGATACTCTTATTTGGGGGTATTTATCAAATTCAGAATCACTAAACATTTTTAAAACCGAGAGCAGGGACACAGTTTCAACTCAATTCCACATTTACTAAGCACCTACTATGTGCCAGGCACTGTGCTGGGAATTGTAGGTACAGAGACCAAGATGAAATCTTCCCTTCCCTCAGGGAGCTTACAAAGGGGGGTAACTTGGGTGCAATTGAGTGAATACAGCGTGGGAAGGGGAAACTCCAAGAACAGGATGGAGGGGACATCAGGTCGGATTTTGTGGAGCAGCTAGTGCCTGAATGAGCCTTGAAGGCAGACCAGGATTCCAAGAGGGAGGGATGAGGAGAGAGGGGGCTCCTTTGTCCCCAAGAAGGGGAAGATGCAGAGACGGTTTGAGGAGCTGAAAGAGGGCAGCAGAACTCACCCTAGCCAGGAGCCCTGGACCTGGGCCATCAGAAGGGAAGCTTGGGGGGAGAGGATGGAGCCTGCTACGACACAATGCAGGGAGCGGACCAGTCTTGTGAGCATTTGTTAATTCTGTGTCCTCACTCACCAGGGTGAGCCATGTCCGAGACTTCATCAGGAACTATGAGGGCTCCCACAGGAATCGGCCCTTCGCCCTGGTCACTGCTCTTCCTGCCCTCAAGCTGCTGGATGACACCCTCACACTGGAGGAGGCAGATCTGCAGAATGCTGTGGTCATCCAGAGACGCCAAACCACACAGGCCCCTCTCCAAGGCCTGTCCTAGCCCTGACACCGGATAGCCCACCCTGAGCGGCCCACCAGAGGAATGGCATGGGGGTGTGGGGGGCCAGTGAGTGGGAGGTGGGGCAGTAAACCCAGACACAACTACTGCCTGGGGGTTGGGCCCTTCTCCTGCATTGACCTTTGGGGCAGGTGCTGCTTCCTTCAGAGGGGATGTGGGTAGCATGGGCCAGCTGCCTTCTGGGCCTGCTGGCAGGTCAGCCTTTTCCTCCCTGAGACACAGCCTGGGAGCCAGGTGGCGGCTGCTCTGGTGTCCTTAGGAGCAGTGGGATGTTGCTGTGGACGATGTGCATCTTAGATCTGATCTGTTCTACAAATGGCATTTTTTAGAAATTGCAGATGCTTCACTGTCTCCTCCCTTCGGGACTCACTGCCTCTTCCTCTGCCAGACGCCAGGGCTGGCCAAAGCTCCCTGTGGTAATCCGGCTGGTGACCCACTTCCACAGTTCACCAGGGGTCTCCACCCTCTGGTACCTCCTTGAAGGGCTCGTCAGGATCCGTCTCTCTGCCTGTCTCTGTCAAAAAGAGAGACTTGCTTCTGCCTGGAGTTCTAAGCAATGCAGCCGCTGAGCTCCCCAAGAGGCCTCGCGGTGTTCTTTGTGTGATGAGACTAAGTAGAAATAATGAAATCGGAGTAAGAAGCAGGGGTTAAGCACAGATAAATAGGCCTGAGGTGAGGGGCCCCTTCCTCTTTTGTAGGGAGCCCCACATCTCAGCCTCCACATAAACAGGAGGCCAAATCCGAGCATCCCACATGGTGCAGGCTACATCATGGTCTTCTTCTGTATGTCTGTGGTCAAGACTCCGTTGTGGACCCCGGGAAAATGCTGCAAATAAACCACAAGTCTTTCTCCAGACCTAGGGAAAGGAAATCATGTGCATGTAGCATGGCTGCCCTTCCACTGGATTCTCTGGGAATGTTGGGGCCTACAAACCAGTGGGTCCTCCTCACACCCCACCACCCCCACCTCCTGGAAACTGTCAGGAGGATAGCCACTACTTAGAGGGCAAAGCAGCTGGAAATGGTAGTGACACCCAGCCACCAAAGCCACCTGTCCCAGCCCCCTCAGAAGAGGGAGGGAGGCTCAGTGGCTTCTGTCCACGTTTGCTTTCCTCAGGGATGTGGAGGAGGCCACTTCATTGGAAGACTGACTTTCCACCAGATAAACAGCCCTAATAGTTGCACACCCCACCCACTCACCCCCGCCCCGTCCTGCCCAGCATCTTCAGTCCCTTCCTGACCTTGGCAGAATGCCTGGAGGATGGGCAGCTGCCCTCTTGGGAGGAGGCAGAGGCACCCACCTGCTGCTACACGCTAAGCGGTGTGGCCAGAATCTCAAGAACGACGCTCAGCCTCTTGGGCAGGAAGTCAGCCTTTTTGGAGCTGTGGGGACTGCTGCTGATGTGCATCATTTCAGGATCTTTCAGTAATGAGAATGAGCCACCTCTGTGCTGAGAGTTACAAAATGGCAGGCTGGGAGAGCTTTTTGGAAGGATAATTGTGAGGAATGATCCTGACCTCCGACTGTTGAGAGTAGAGGGAGCCTCCACCGTGCCCGGGGCAGGACTCCAGGGTGACGGCTGACAGCTGCCTGCCAGACATGCAGCGTGCTGCTCCACAGACCCTGCATCCGGGGTGTGGTGGCTGCATCCTTCAAGCCAGACAGACCCAGTAGCAAGACCCTGTCGCTGTGTATCAGCACGGCCGCAAGTCTGTTGGCCAATGGTGAGGAGCTGACTTTAGTGCCTTAAAGCGATCAGGACAGCAACTCATTGCAAAGGGGGAGGGATCGTTCCCTTCAGTAAGAAATGGTTTGTAAGAAATTCATTTGAATCAATCGATGTGTGTGTTTCTGAGGACACAGTGACATGCGCAGCCGCAGCTTCCGCCTGTGCTTGGCGATTCATTCAGTATGGCAACTCGGTGTTTTAAATAAATTTAGAAAAAATGCAAAGTGTCTTTATCAACACTGGGACATAAAAAGGACCTGGATTCTAGGTCTAGTTGGCTCCTGGGGGGGGGTAGTCCTGGGGAAGCCAACTGCGGGCTCTGAGCCTGAGATAGAGACTAGGAGGATGGCCAAGCACAGTCCCACGGGGATCTGGATTGGGACAGAGCACGTTTCAGACGGTGCAGGGAAAGGAAAGGTGGGGCCTCTTGGACTAATGCTTCAGGGGAGTAAGCCCAGGAGGGAGGAGAAATGCCAACAATGGAAGTGTAAAGACCCAAAGGGGAAGAATAATTCCAATGAAGAGGGGAAAGGGTGATCTGTGTAGATAGATGTGGACCTAAGGAGTACTCATCAACCACCTTCGATTTTACAAAGAAATGTACAAAAGATGGAAGGGGGGGCAGGAAATGACCATCAGGAGGGCAGGTCCTATAAAAATAGAATCAGAAATGCAGTGACTCTTAGATGAGTTGCTGGGGGGGGGGGGGGGCAACCAAAGGAAGCCAGGACCAAAACAAAAAACAAGTAGAATTTTTGTATCAATGTTGGGAGAAAAAAGAGGCAGGAAGAAGGGTGAGGATGGTTCCTTGGGGTGGACTGCAGGATGGTAACTGCTCCATTTTGTTGGGTTCTTGTTTTCTCTGGGAAGGAGACAGTAAATGACAGAAAAGAATGACTAGAAGAGATGTGATGCCCAAAATTCCAGGAGAGAGCTGCTTTGGCTCAGTTCCTCGGTCCTGGCCCAGGGGAAGGACATCCTTGAGCACAGAAAGAATGAGTTAAGGGGACGGCTTAGCTCCATTAGTGACACTCATCTGAAAGAGCATGGAAAACAGGAGAGCGCTGGAGGTACTGGGAAAGGGCAAATGTCCCCATTTCTAATGGGGCGGAGGAGATGAGAACAAAGTCTGGAGCTGGACTTTGATTCCTGGGAAGATTCTAGAACTAAGGAAATCCCTTGGCCAGCCTTCAAGTGCCAGCAAGCACTGTCTGGAAATTAGCCCTCAAATCCCTCAGAGGCAGAGATTCCAGGCATCATTATCCCCATGTTACAGGGGAGGAAACTGAGAGCAGAGAGGGGGAGTGGCTGGCCCAGTTAGTCCATCTGGAGGGGGATTTGAACTCAGGATGGTTTGCTATTCGTGTGAATGATTAGAGGTAAGGGTCACCCTTAGGCCTGGATCTTCCTTCCGGATCACTGAGCAGGGAAGGCTCATCCCCACCAAGCCTGGAATTCTAAAAGCAGCCCCACCACTGGGGAGAGACACAATGGTGGTTGGCCCTCATTGAGTTTTCTTGGGCTCCCCAAAGAGTTTGGAATTCCCAAGGAGCTGAGCGGGCAGTGACATAGGGCACCCAAGGGGGCAGAGCCAAGATGGTGGAGTGAAAGCAGTGACTTGCTTAAGCTCCCCTCCAAACCCCTCCAAATAGGCTCTGAACAAATTCTAGAGAAGCAGAACTCACAAAAAGACAGAGTGAAATAAATGTCCAGCCTAAGACAACCTAGATGGTTGATTAGAAAGGTCTATTGCGCTAGGCAGGTAGAGGAGCGCAGTTCACCGTGGGCGCATAGGCAAAAACTAGGCCTCAGCAAACCTGGAGCAGGCCTCAGGGGACTGAATCACAGGCAGCTGAGGCAGTTTCCAGACTTCTCAACACACAAACACCAAAGAACTTAGAAAGTCAGTAGGAAAAGTCTGTGACTGCAGTGAGAGAGAAGCTTGGTCCCAGCCCCTCCCAGCATGGCCCCAGGGCTGCAGCTGCTTCCAGAGTTTAGCCTACAGGCAGAGGGGGAAATCATAGGGATCTCTTTGCTGGTGCGGAGGGAGGATTCTCTTGCTTTGCCCGCATTTGGATCTGGGTCACAGTTCTGGGTGGTGGTCCTGGGGCAAGGAGGAGTGCTGGAATAGTGGAGCTTGTGGCTGTAGTGAAGAGAAAATCCTCCTCACAGTTCCAAGGCAGAAAAGAATGCTTGTGGTCACTCATAGAGCAGAGCACAGGCCAGGAAAGGAGTAAACACCTTGCCCTTGATCATAGCACCTTGCAAGAACAGAAATTTTACAGGTGCCTAGAAGTATCTCTGAAAACAGCTGCACAAAACCCCCAAAGCTTGAGACAACACGTTCTCCACACTGAAAGCAGACTTCTACCTTAACAAAGAGTTTATAACTCACATAATTGGCTGGGATCATGAGCAAGCAGCGCAAAAAGAATCAGACCACAGAATCTTTCTTTGGTGACAAAGAAGATCGAAATATACAACCAGAAGACAACAAAGTCAAAGCTCCTACATCCAAAGCCTCCAAGAAAAGTATGAATTGGTCCCAGGCCATGGAAGAGCTCAAAAAGAATTTTGAGAAGCAAGTAAGAGAAGTAGAGGAAAACTGGGAAGAGAAATGAGAGTGACATAGGGCATCCAAGAGGAAGGGCCACTGGGTCAGACCTCTTGGGAGTGGAGGGCAGGCTTGTGTCCCCAACATCTCCATCCATCCTGGACCGTCCCAGAGCTCAGGCAGCATGAATCAGGTGCCTAAGAAAGAAATGCCTGCCAAACTGAGCTGAATGAATCTTCCCAACACTCTCATGAGCCTGGCAGGGTTCCCATCCCCGTGAAACAAGTCTCACCCAAAAGAAGCAGGATCCTCTTCATAGCCACAATGACCACTGGACAGGGGATTGCCCAACACCTCTCCTACCCTGGGACCTCCCCCACATTATTCTTGGTCTCTGCCCTCTGGGGCCAAACAGAACAGGTGGGAGGGGGGCATCTCATGCCTTCAGGCTTCCCTGGCACCCCCTCTCATTCTTCTCTGCTGAGACCTCACCCTTCCCTTCGAGGTATATATCTGGCAGGACAACAAATATTTGCCATTTGCTAGGGTCTTGGAATAATGGTGATGTTCCAACCTCCTATTAACAACCCTGGGAAGGAAACAGGTATAATTATCATCCTTTTTTAACATAGTGGGAAACTGAGATCCAGTAAGGTTAAGTGCCTTGCCCCCAGCCACACAGCTCTGAGTGTCAGAGGCAGGTCTTAGGTCTCAGACTCCAGGACCAGCACGCTAGTGCTTACCCCTGGACGTGGTGCCTCTCCATGGCAGTCTTCTGCTTATCAACCTCCTCCCCAGAATGAAGCCCCTAGAAGTGAAGCTGGTATAGCAGATGTGGCCTGACCAGGGCACCCAACTCCTCCTGGGTTCTCAACTCAGCCCCTCCTATCGCAGCCCAAGAGCCCCTGGGTTTGGGCTGCCACATCCTAAGGGGACCTGTGCTGACTTTACAGTTCCCTGTTACATCCCAACATGACCATCTAGCCACCCAGGGCCCCACTCACCATCCAGGTCAAGTCTAAGCACCTACTATGTGCCAGGCCCTGTATGCCAGGTGCTGGGGATACAAAGAAAAGCAAATGCCAGTCCCTGCCCTCAAGGAGCTCCCAGTCTAATGGAGGAGACAAAAACAAGATAAACACAGGATAAATTGGAGACAATCAATCGAAGGAAGGTGTAAGAGTAAAGGAGTAAAAGAGGTTTTTAGGGAGGAGGGAGGAAATAAATGCCTACTGTGTTCCAGGCGCTGTGCCAAAGCTACAAATCTGATCTCATTGGACCCTCACAACAACCCTGAGAGGTAGGTGTTGTTATTACCCTTATATTCCAATTAAGAAACTGAGGCAGACAGGGAGTAAGTGACCTGCCCGGGGTCACCCAGCCACTAAGTGTCTGAAGTTGAATTTGAACTCAGGTCTTCTTTACCTGGGCATTGCACCACCTAGCTACCTCAATCAGGAAAGGATTACTGTGGAAGGTGGGGTTTTACCTGAGGTTTAAGGGAAAGGGAAAGAGAAAAGGCCTGGATATGGCACCTACCGTGTGCCAGGCACTGTGCTAAGGGCTTCCCACAACACCCCTGAGAGGTAAGTGCTATTATGACCCACATTGTACAGTTGAGGGAATTAAGGTGAACAGAGGTTAAGTGACTTGCCCAGGGAGACCCAGTCAATCGGTGTTAGGGGCTGGATCTGACCTTTTTTTTTTTTTTTAAAGAAAATCTAGGAGGTAGAAAGGAGGAGAGGCAGCTTTCCAGGCACGGATGCAGCCAGAGAAAATGCCCCGGACTGGGGAATGGGAGCGGGCCCAAAGTGCATGGGGAGGAGCAAGGGCAGCGATTTCCTGGCCCAGAGTGTCTCCCCTCCCCCCCTCTGCCCGGGTAGAACGCTCTCTCTCTCGGAGGGCCAGGACTGCTTTGGGTGGGTGCTCTCAGCGCCTAGCACGGTCTAGGCACTTGATACGTTTTGTTTTGCTTTGCTTTTTTAGTTCAGTCGTTTTCAGTTGAAAGCCTGTCCAATTCGATTTTCCAGACTCGAGTACCCGTTCTCCCCAGCCCGGCCTAGTCAGGGGCACGCCATCCTTGACCAGGAGCCTGCCCTTCCCGCGTCTTAAGCTGCTGCCCGGAAAGTGTGAGCGAAGATAGCGGCCGCCACCCCTGGGCGCCGCGCCCAAGGCTGGCGCTGGTCCCCGCACCACTGAGGCGAGTGTCCCAGGGCTGGACCGCATTTCTGGCTCTCCCTTCACCCCCTGCATCAAGGCCCAGAAAGCGCAAGATCTGCCCAATGCCACACAGCAGGCACAGGGTGAGCCAAGACAGCCTTCCCCCGAGGCCACATAGCTCTAGAACCTGAGAACTCCCCAGGCCCAGCCCCGACAGCCTCCTCCTCTTCAGCGCACACTGGGAAATCCTCCAGCCCCCTCCTGCCCCGCCCTCTCCACCCCGCCCCGAAGCTGCAGCGCGGCTCCAGAAGAGGAGCTCATGCTCCAGGTGGCAGAGACGGTAAAGGACACTGAGGCAGCAGCGGCAGCTGGATGGCAACTTCCACTAGGGGCCCTGGCCCCCAGCCCCTAGAGAAGGAGGAGGACCTCCCTCAGGTGAGGGCAGGGAGGGTTGGCACGGGAGTCCAGGGGTGGGGAGGAAGATCAGTGTCTGGCCACCAGAGGCTGACCTCCTGGCACTCCTAAGTGGGGAAATTCTTCCTGATTTTAGGCTGAAATCAGCCTTTGGGGGCCAGCCTCGCTGAGAATTGTGAGGTCCTTCTCCCCTGGGCAGGCAGCACTGTCCAGTGCTGGCTTCACGGGCTCATCCATCCCTCCTGCCCCCTCCAACATGGGCTGGCCGGCCTACCCTCCATGACTTGGCTTTCCGTGGCTCTGGGGAAGTGTGAGGGTGGTAGCACCGAGATAAGCTTCTATCTGGGGGCCCAGGGAGGGAGCCCAGGCCTGCCGGGTGGAGCCATGGGCTGCTCCTTCCTTCAGGGCTGGGCCTCCTCCGAACAGCCCCTAGCACCTTCTCTGGAGTCCCCTGGAAGGGAAGGGTGGCGGGCCCAGCTGGACTCCCCTCGCAGACCCCCTGAGTGGGCATCCAGCTTGTAGGGGAGCATGTAACTCACCTACCTTGCACACACACATTCTGTCCTAAACTCATACACACAGAGGCACATGCACACCATGAGCAGTAGCAAGGTTAGGCTGAAGGGGGAACATCCCAGCTAGGAAGGTGGCCTCCTGTCTGTCCTGGAGAGTTTGGTGAGGTTCCAGGGAGACAGTGGATGCTAGGGACAGAGTCCTAGGACCCCTGGGCTCTAGACCCAAATCTATCCATAAGAGTCTTGGCTCTCTGTGACCTTCCATCCAATTTGATCTGTTCCATGTATTTAGCATTTATTAAATGCCTACTATGTGCCAGGCACGAGAGCTACAAAGGCAAGAATGAAACAGCCCCCTGCCCTCAGGGAGCTGGCATTCTCCTGGAGGAACCAGGAGACCCCAGACCAGGAAATGCAAAAGATATGAAGGGTGTTTACAAAGTCTGTGCTTGGCCCATTAGCCATCCCTGCGCCAAAGTGCTTGGTCAGACCAAGGCCACTGCAGAGGAAGGAGGAGGCTTCCCTGGGGCCCAGGCAGTGACTTCTCTCTGCCCCTTCCTTCTGGCATTGCCTCCTCTGAGGACATGGGTCACACAGAAGAGGGGACAATATATAGGTCTTTCTCTGGTGGCAGACACAGGAGTCGAGAGCTTAAGGGCTGCACTGTGAGGGAGATCTTAGGTCAGCACTCATGGGCTGCTCTTGAAGAGTTCAGCGACTGAGACCCTTCAGCCAAACTCCCTGCTGTCTTCCCCTCCAGAACCCCTTGTGGGGAGGGAGCAGCCCCCCCCACCTGAGCCCCTGGCCCCCAGGGTCCACGAGGTCCTGCCAGGGCTCATGAGGAAAGTCTGAAGATGGCAATCCTCCCAGCCCTCTGCCCCTGTCTCCCTCAGGTCCCAGGCTATGTGTCCCTTCACCTCAGGGGCCTCTGGCCCATCCCCAGTCTGTCCAAGAACCTTCTACACCATCCTCACCAGAGGCTAGCCTGTCTTTGCCTGAAGTCCCCCAGGGAGGGGGAGCGCCCACCTTCCTGACATCCAGCCCTCGGAAGCTCCTTGGCATCTACCCCACCCCCACGCAGATCAGGATAATTTGTTCTCTTGGGAGCGAGCATAAGCACCGGCTCCCCCTAATTGCTCTCTGTCGGTCAAAGCTGCAGTTGTAACCTGGAGTCTCCCGACACCCTGACTCCCAGGCCTCCTGATGCCCAGGTCTGACTGTACCCCACCCCCCAAGGCCTTCCGCAGGGCCATGCGGCAGCTCCCTCAGGGCAGGGGCTGCAATGCTTGCTCTCATCTTTGGACCCCCGGAGCCCAGCAGGGCTCAGCAAACAGCCGTGTGGACACAAACAAGGGCCCGGGCTCAGATCCCGACTGCACTTACCAGCTGGGTGCCCTCGAGCCTCGTGTCCCCCTCTGGCCTTGATGAACTCCAAAGCTCCTTCTAGCTCTGCATGCAAGATCCCGCGATGGGGGAGGGGCTGAGGGAACATTTGTCTTTCCCCAGGACAGGCCTTCTGGGCACCTCTCGGTGATCTCTAAGCTCTGTTACAGCATTGGGGGGGCCCCCAACCAGGCAGCCTCCAGTGCAGCAGCCTTCTACCTGCAGCTGTTCCTGCTAGATGTGGCCGGGGTGAGACCCTCCTCCCTCTAGCCCAGAGCAGCCTTCTTTCCTGAAAGGGCCAGGGGCTGTGGCTGGTCTTGGCCTGTTGGGTGTGGGCATGTGTGCCCTTGTGCACGTGGCAGGGAGGGCACTTGGCTACAAAGCTGGAGCTGACCCCATACCCACTTCTCTTCTCTTGCCTCAGATCCCCGCAGTTCAAGCCTCGCTTGTCGTGTTTGTGGGTAAGCTCTTGGGGGCTGCAGCTGACCCCGCAGCTGGCTTTATCATCAGCCGGAGCCCACGGACTGCTCTGGGCCGCCTCACACCCTGGTGAGCCCCAGCGGGATTGTGGGCATGGGCAGTGTCACTTTGACTGCGCCTCTGTGCCCAGGAGGAAGAGCGGGGGTGGGGGAGGCAGGGCTCATTCCTGAGGGGACCAGAGGCTGGGCTCATCCCTTTCCTACCCTGCCCTGCCCCAGGATCCTGGGCTGTTCGCCTTTTCTGGCCCTCACCTACTTCTTCCTGTGGTTCCTGCCCCCCATTGGCCGTCTTCAGGGTCTCTGGTATGCAGCTTTCTATGGCCTCTTTCAGGCCCTGTCCACGGTGAGTCCCTCCCTGGCTGTCTGGTGTGGTCCCACTGCCCTCTGGGCCTCTGGCCTCAGCATTCAATACTGCAGAGGGGCAGGGCAGGAAGATGGTCCTCCAAAGGGACCCAAGGCCCTTCACTGTCATGATGCGTCCCCTTCTTGCAGCTGCTCCAGGTCCCATACTCAGCCCTCACTATGTTCCTCACTCAGGACCAGGAGGAGCGAGATTCGGCCACTGCCTACCGTGAGTCAAGAGGCCTCAGACCCCTTTCTGGGGAAGATGTCCCTGGGGCGTGCATCACAGCCAGTCAGTCAATGGACAATTATTAAGTGCCAAGTGCTGGAGATACAAAGAAAGGCAAAAGACAGCCCCATTCTTGGGGCTGTCTACAGGTGTGAGGAGCCTGGGAGGAGGGGAGGGGGCTTGGAAGGCCAGGCAGAGCATTTGTCTTTGCTCCTTGAGGCTAGAGGCAGCCCCTGGAGGTTACCGAGGAGGGGGTGAGTGGTGAGAGCTGCACTTTAGGAAAAGTCAAGTTGGTGGCTGGACTGCGGATGGCCTGGAGTGGGGAGAGGCCCAAGGCAGGCAGACCCCCCAGAGGCTAGCCACAACCCAGCCTGAGGGGATGAGGGTCTGCACCAGGATGGGCCAGAGGCAGGGGCACAAGGGGCAAATGTGAGAGAAATGACGGGCGGGGCACAAGGGGCAAATGTGAGAGAAATGACGGGCTGGTGGGTGGGGGCAGGGGCTCTGCAGCCCTCCTCAGTGACCCTGCCCCCTCCCCACCCCAGGGATGACCATGGAGATGGCTGGCACGCTGACTGGAGCCACAGTCCATGGCCTCATTGTGGCTGGTGCACACAAGGCTCCCAGATGCCCCGAGGCCAACCTCACTGACCCCCTTCTGTCTGTGGCCTCCAGTATCTCTCCCCACACGGTGAGACTCAGCCTGCTAGGACCCCCAAGGGGCTCCTGTCACCAAAGACTCTCATTAACTAGAGGCCAGGGGGCCCTCTTTGGAGAGAGGGGGAGGGCAATGTGGACAGTCTCCCATGGGGACCTGCTGGGGAATGCTGAGGGAGCTCCAGAACCTTCCAGCCAGCTCGCCTTGTGACTGCCGGGTTCCCACAGAGCCAGCTTTACATGATTGCTGCTGGGGTCATCGCGGGAACCTACCCCCTGTGCACGGCCCTGCTCGCCCTGGGGACTACAGAGGAAGATGGTGACTGTGGACAGGGACGGGATTCCCTTTGGGGCTGGGGGCTCCTCTGGGGGCAGGTCCTCTCCTAACATCACACCGGCATCCGTGTCTGGCCTCCAGATGGCTACATCCTTGAGCAACGGAGGGTCCCCTTCTTCCAGGGGCTCAGCCACACTCTCCAGCATCAGCCATACCAGAAGCTTGTGGCTTCCTTCCTGTTCATCTCTGCTGCTGTCCAGGTAACTCTAGCCTGGTGTCTGGCCCACTAACCCTAGGAGACCCTCAAGATAGGGAAAAGGAGCTGGTCAGCCCCTGGCCCAAGGCCCAGGTAGAACCTCCATGGGATGCAGCCAGGGCCTGGGGGTGGGGGGGTGGTGCTGAGGCACAGCAGAGAGAGGCTAAGGGCACCCTTGGGCCCTGTTGAAATCCTCATCCCCAGCATCCCTGGGGGCTGGGGACAGTCTTTGAGCAGGACGTGGGTCATAAAGACCGGGCCAAATGTGGGCTGCCCAAAGTCCCCAGACTCCCACCACCCAGTTTGTGCCCAAGCCAATGGTCTTCTATAATGATGGCGGCCTTCCATGGCATGACCCAGTGTCTGCTGAGCCTGGCAAAGGCACCCACCGTGCTTTGGGGAGAGCCCCAGCAAAGACCCACAGCCCACATCAATGGAAGTGCTTAGCCATAGGCTCCTTCCGACATGCCCTCTCTCTAATGAAGGAGTTCCCAGAAAACCAGGACAAGCCACCCAGGGCCTCACGCCATGACATGAACAGATGGTCACTAAGGCCTGCTCTGGATGGAGCCCTGTGCCTGGGCAGGAGTCCATCCCTGCCTCATGGGAGCTCAGCCATCTATAGTGTCCAGTGCCCACCTAGCCAGGGCCATGGCCAGGGAACATGGCCTCCCACGTGGACTCCCCAAAGAGTTGGGGCGGGCAGTGGGTTTGGGGCCAGGACACCTGGCTTCAGATCCTCTCTGGGCAAGTCTCCCTGGTTGTTGGGGGTGAGGGCCCTGGGGCCAGCTGACAGCTGTCCTCCCATCCCTGCAGGTTCAGCAAAGCTATCTCGTCCTGTTCTGCACCCACGCGGCCCCCCTGCATAGCCACATGCAGAATCTGGTGCTGCTGGTACTGGTGAGGGGGCCAGCAGTGGTCAGGGGTGTCACATGGGGGCAGAGGCCTGCACCCTCATTCCTGTCCCTTGGGATAGAGCTGGGAGATCCCCAGCAGTGATGATGACAGCGTGGTTCCCCTCCCCCAGGTGGCAGCTGTCCTGAGCACCCCATTCTGGGAATGGTTCCTGCAGAGAGTCGGGAAGAAGGCAGTGGCCTATGGGATCGGGGTGTGTGAGTGCAGAGGGGCTCAGGCTAGGCTGATGGTGAGGGGTGGCATACAGAACTGGGGTGCTGAGTAGAGGGGGGCCCAGAGGGTCTGATGGGGGGCGGTCTCTGACAGGCTCCTCTCTCACCTCCACAGGCAATGGTGCCTTCCGCGCTCCTGCTCGCAGCAGTCCCCACTGCCCCCGTGGCCTACGCTGTGGCCTTCGTGTCAGGCACCAGCATCGCCCTGGCCTCGCTGCTGCCATGGTGGGTGGCCCAGGGCAAGGATCTTCCTGGAGAGGGGGGAAGGGGCAGCTGTCTGGGGGGAGGCTTCCTGGCACGCTGCAGGTGGCGGCTCAGGACAGGTGGACATGGGTCAGAGGCGCCAAAAGAGAGCCCAGCAGGGTCAGAGGAGGGTAGGTGTGGGCTCATGAGTTGGGCTGGACTTGGAAGAGCAGGCAATCTTTGGGAAAGGAATGAGGCCAGCCAGTGTCCAGACAAGTGGAGACTGGCCCAGCTGAGGGAGGCTGGGACCTCAGACCACTCTTGGCAGGAGGAATGTGGCCAGAGGCACTGTGGGTAGGGAGGAGCCCAGGGGAGAAGTGGTGAGGGCCTGAGCCAGGGCAGCAGCTGGTCCTGGGAATGGAAGGGCAAGGGAGGGAGAGCCCTCCTATGGGCCAGGCCCTGGACTGAGTGCTTTGCGAGCATCCTCTTATTTGGTCTTCAACAACCCTGGGAGGAGGTGCTATTATTATCCCCATTTTATAGATGGGGAAACTGAGGCAGGCTGCAGTGACCTGACTTGCCCAGGGTCACATAGCTTGTAAGTGTTTAAGGCCAGATTAAAACTCAAGTCTTCCTGATTCCCAGCCTGGGGCTCTATCCACTGAGCCACCTAGCTACTTCGGGCAGCTTTGAGGGACAGTGGAAAAGGGAAGGTGGGAGGAGCCTGTTAGCCTAGGGCCCTTTTGAGAGGAGCAGGGCAGCTTGAGGAAGGGGGGGACTGGCCTGATCGTCCTTCCCCTGGCTTGTCGGGGGTCACGGACAGTGTATGTTGGCGGGGGATGGGGTGGGCTTTGTCCCCAGGTCCATGTTGCCGGACATTGTGGACGACTTCAGACTCCACAAAGTTCCTCTGAAGGGCTTGGAGACCATCTTTTACTCCTCCTACGTCTTCTTCACAAAGCTATCGGGGGCCGGGGCTCTGGGCATCTCCACCCTGAGCTTGGAGTGAGTGACTTGGGCCCCGCAGGGAGCAGGGCAGGGAAGGCTGTTGGAGGGGAGCAGAGGGGGCCATGGGTGAGGCAGGGGAGCGGGGCAGGGGGACTGCGGTGGCTCCGCAGGGAGCAGGGCAGGGAAGGCTGTTGGAGGGGAGCAGAGGGGGCCATGGGTGGGGCAGGGGGAGTAGGGCAGGGGGGGCCCATGGGGCCCTGAGGGGAGCAGGGCATTCAGCCTGGGGGCCACGTCCAACCTTGGTTCCCAGTGGGAGCTGGACCGGCTGGAGGGTCTGAGGAGATCGCCTGCTTACCCTTAGGGCTGGGGAGATCTCCCAGCTCTTCCTGTTCCTGGGAGTGTTTGGGGCCATCGCTGGCTGGCCGGTCCTGCCACTCACGCTGTTTGTCTGTGACCGTTCTGCTGTCCAGAGCCTGCTCACATTTAGGGTTTGGGCTCATTTCATCCCCATAACAATCATAGGAGGTAGGTGCTCCTATTTTTCCCATTTTACAGATGAGGAAACTGAAGCCCATAGAGGCTAAGTTACTTATCCACGGTCACATAGCCAGGGAGACTCTGGGCACTGCCAGGGGTCCTGTCATAGGCCTCAGTTTTCCCCTGCTCCCTCAGCCTGCCTGCCTGGTGTCTCTTATCAGTCACTGGGGCCCAGAACAAGTTCTCCAGGTGAGGTCTGACAAGGGCAGAGGAGGGCAGGACCATCACTTTCTGTATCTTGTAAGGCGGCCCCATTTTGAATGAATGACTATGACATTTACTTATATGGAGCTTGTGGCCCACTCAGACCCCGAGATCTTTTTCCAAGACAGTTCCCTGACCATGTGCCCCCTTAGTTTTTTGGACCCAAGTTTGAGCCTTGTATTGGTGCCCACGGCTCTGGCTGGTCTAAATTTCTTGTGCTCATGGCTCTGCCATGCAGGGTGTTAGCCCTGCATCCAAGCTTTGTGTCCTCTGCAAATCTGATGAACATGCCCTCAATGCCTTCTTCCAAGTCACTGATTAAAATGCTAAACAGGGCAAAGGGACACAAACATTTACATAGCCCCTACTACATAGCCCTAGGCACTTTACAATGATTATCTCATTTGATCCTTGCTGCAACCCTTCAAGGCAGGGGCTGTTATTCCTATTTTTTAGCAGAGGAAACTGAGGTGGACAGAGGTAAAGTGACTTGCCCAGGGTCCCCCAGCTAGCAACTGTCTGAGATTGGGACTCAGGTCTCCTGGCTCCAGGCCCTGGCTCTGGGCACTCTGGCACCCCCTAGACACTTCTGCATGGTGCCCCAGCCACCCCTGGGGTACTTCTTCCTAACTGGAGTTGGACCTTTAATGACTCAGCAGGCACATAGGGCGTGCCCATTTCTCCAGCTCCAACTACCATCACTGGGTCCATATCTATCCATCTTGTCCACAAGTGTCTGCTGAAATCCGGGGCCAGTCAGTGGGCTCTAGTTTTCCCCAGGTGACCCCCAGAGAGTGTGACATGCTGGCTTATGTTTGGGGCTCGGAGGCGGCTGCAGACACTCACCATTAGGTCCTGGCCGGATTACTTGGATTTTCTCATTTGGATGATAGGGTAATGATGCCTGGCCACACCTCGCAGGTCTGCCAGCGTGGTAAGAATGGGAGGGATGATACTGTCCGATGTCCCTGCTGGGGCTTGTTCTTACCAGGATAGGACCTCAGCTAGGGCTGGTCAGCAGTGGGGCACCCTTGCTCATCATGGGGACCAACTCTCCTTTAACTGTTTGGGTTCCATCCTTTCTGGTTTCCAGATCCCTCGTTGTCCTTTCCAGAGGGAAGTACGCCTTCCTTCTCTTGGGGCTCCACCCCAAGCAATGCCCTTCTCCCTCCTTGGATCTCCCTCAGAGAGGCGGCCTGGCCTGGCCTGGCCGCTAAGGAGCTGGCCATGGTGAGGAAGTCCTGCCTCAGACCATTCTAGCAGGTCCCTTCACCTCCCAGTGCCCCCCAGGAAACTCCTGAGACTCTGAGCTGCAGAATTGGTGCAGAGCCCCTGCTTGGGGGTGAATGCAAGAAGTCTGGGCTGGTCCCTATTGTTCAAGAGATTCTTTTAGATGCCTTTCATGTCCCTGGTTGGCCCAAGCTCCTGAACTGTACACTCCTGACTCTTTCCTTGTGGGGCCAGACCCTACTTCTGGGCCTCTGCTCTTGCTACCTGCCCTCACTTCCATCTTCTGGACATCCACACTGGCCAATGAGATTCTTATGCATCAATTGATCTAGACAGCTTCCCCTTTCCCCCCTCACTGGAATTGTTTCAGCATCTTCAGGATTTCATTCTTGAGCATCTCCTACCCTTGAGGGGCTGACTTTCCCTGAAGAATTTGAGTCTCTGAGATCCTTTCTCTGAGCCCTTGGAAAATAGCTCTCCTGACATCTATGGTACCTCTTGGGCTATGTCCCAATTTTTCTCTCCTCCTCCTCTATCAAGAACTCTGGGATAGAGTGCTGGTTACCTCAGGGTTCCCAGCATTCTCATATCAGCAACCAGTTAGTGAGAATTAGGTGAGAAATAGGATTTCTCCTGATTGATTCTTCTACCTTTTGAAGGATGAAATTATTAGTAAGATAAATCAAGGTGTTATTAGATGCTCTTCCTTTGGCAAAAGTTAGGGGAGAGAGAAGGGGTGGAGAGAAGAAGGAGGAGGGGGGAGGGGAGAGGAGGGAAAGAGAGGAGAGAGCTAGGAGGAAGGAGAGGGAAAGATGGAGGGGAGGGGGGGAGAGAGAGAGGAGAGAGAGAGAGAGAGAGAGAGAGAGAGAGAGAGAGAGAGAGAGAGAGAGAGAGAGAGAGAGAGAGAAGAGAGGGAGAGAACCTGCCTCAACAGATGTCTGGATAAATGAAGCTCCCTATCATTCCCAATGCATGCCTCTGTGCCAGGCTTGGGATCTGCTTCCCAAACTTTTCATCCATATCTTCTTTATGTCCGAATTGGTCTGAGGTTTCCTCCAATGACAAAATCACTTCTACCAAATCACCCAATTCTCTCCCCCATTCATCCCTCCTCTGGTGCCTGGATCTTCTCACAGGGATATACTTTGTCAAGACAAAATGTTACCCTGTGGGTTCCTGTCTTATTTCTTTTAATAACATCCCAGCCAGGAGGGGAGCTCCCCCAATCTCAGTGAGATGCCTGTGACGTCCAGTTTGCCTTCTGCAATGGGTCATGAGTTCATATGCACTTCAGAGGGCATGGGCTTTATAGCATTTTGTCTCAGGTTTGCAGGGTACGAGTCTGGCTCCTGTAAACAGTCTGACAAAGTGGTCATCATGCTCAAAGTCTTGATTGGCGCTGTCCCCACCAGCATGGTGCTGATAGGTCTGGGCATTCTGTCTGTTTACCCCATCACCGAGCAGCGGCGCCGGGAGACTGCCCATAGGCTGGATATGCTGAGGTGGGCACCTGCATCCACAGCTCTGTGAGACCGTAACATGCTCATGGATACGTGAACTCAGGCACACACATAAGTACATGTACACGGGGACTTGCACATATGCATGCAATTGCAGACATGTGTGAACACACGAGGCTGCCTGTGACCACATATACACCATTCAGTGGGGAAGATTGGTCCTGCTGACCCTAGGCCCAGGGAGAATTCAGGGCAAGTCAAGTAGTATTTATTAAATACCTCTTACTATGGGCCAGGCACTGAACATGCAAGGACCAAACTGGAGCAGCTGCTGCTGCCCACCAGTAGCTGACATCCTTCTGGGCAGTGGCCACTGAGGCATCAGATTAGTAAATACCACCACCTATGTACACAGTGAACATACAGTAATTTTGACAGTGTTGGGGGGGTGCACTAACATGGGAGTAATCAGACAGGGCTTCTCATAAGAAGTGTCACCTGAGCTGAGCCCTGAAGGAATTAGAGATTCCAAGAGGAAGAGTATCCTAGACATGGCAGACAGTGCAAAGGTGCAGAGGTGGGAGATGTAATATTGCCCAGGGAGCAGTGGAGTTTACTAAGCCGGGGAGTGAAGTGGTTAGCTTTTGTCTCACAATATCTCTCAAAGAGAATATACATGAGAAGTTGGTCAACTGGGTCAAAGGTAGTTGAGGGCTAAGAAGGTTGAATGCTAAGAAAAGGCCATTGTAAGAAGCCACTAAGAGATCACTGGTAACATTGGAGAGAACACATTGAAGTGAATGATGAGGTTGGAAGCCAGGTCACCCAGAGCTAATAAGCGGATAAGAGGAGTGCTAATCCTGAGTCTGCCTGAGAAAGTTCTGACTGTGAACTGTCCTGCCCTCTTGCCTCCCCTGCCCTCAAGGAGCTCCCAGCCTAAAGAAGGAGGCAGCATGCAATTAACTCTTAATTAATTAAGAAATGTACAGGGCGAATTGAAGGCAATCTCAGGGAGGGAGGCTAAGAAAACTAAGTCTTGAAGAAAGCAGGGAAGCCAAGAAGCAGGGATGATGAGGGAGGGGGGTCCAGGCATAGGAATGGCCAGACAAAAGCCTGGAGCCAAGATATGGCTGTAATACCTCAATTATGAGCTGTAGACCCAAGGCTTGTGGTGGTCTCAACAGTGATGGAGGAATTAGGAAGAGGGCAGGCTTCGGGGAGAGAAAGCCTGAGGTTAGTTTGGGGCAAGGTAACTGAAGATGTCTGCCAGACATCGGGTCTGAAATGCCCAGTAGCCCCCTGGAGTCTATATCAGGAGAGAGCTTAGGGCCAGATAGATAAGTAGATCTTGGAACCTTCTGCCTAGGAGATAATAGTTAATCCATGAGACAGAATGAGATCCCCCAGGGCAGGCATCTAGAGGGAGAAGTGCCCAGGATAAAGTCACAAGGAACGCCTGAGGCTAGAGGGGTGGGGTCTGAAGGAGGATCCAGCCAAGGAGACGGAGAAGGAGTGGTCAGAGAGGGAGGAGAACCAGGGGAGATGGTGTCCTGAAAACCCAGAGAGAAGAGAGGATCCAGGAGGACAGGGTGACCAGCAGTGTCAGGCTACAGAGAGATTGAGAAGCATGGGGACAGAGGAAATGCCATTGGGTCTGACAGCGAAGAGGTCATCAGTCACTTTGGAGAGAATAGCATCAGAAGCTGATTGTAAGGCAGCAAGAGGAGAGAAAGTGGAGGCACCTAGTGTAGACGGCCTTTTCAGGTTTGGCCATGATGGGGGAAGATGTAGGATGGTAGTGTCCAGTGAGGGTTTCTTCAGGATTCAGGAGACCTAGACATATCCATAGGCCACAGCGGAGATGACAGTCATGGAGACTGAAAATGAGAGAAAAGCATGTCTAAAGTGTCCTTCCAGCCTAGGAGCCCCCTTTGGCAAGGGAGGGGGCTGTCTCTTCCTCTGGGCTTAGAGCAGACAGTGTTGGGAGGGTGGGGGCGGGGCATCCACAGAAGGGCAGTGGCGGCCTCCTCCTGTAAGTAGGAGCCCTTTCCCATGCTCGACTTTCTTCTCCCCTCACAGGAGGGAGGTGCCCGTGTGTCTGGTAACCCAGTCCCAGTGTAGCCCAGAGTGGAGCCACCACTCTGACGCAGCACCGAGCCTAGCAAAGGCCCGAGAGTCTGGCTCCCAGCCTGGGTTCTGCTGGGTTTGAAGAAGGAATTAGGGCAAGGCATTTGAAATGGCAGGCCAATGCTCATGCCAGACGATGCTGTGGGGCAGCCTTCCATGGAGTCTACCAGCCTGTGATCAGATCCAGAGCTCTCAAGGCACACAAGAAGCCAGCACCTGGTCCCCTTGGTGGAGCCTGAAGGACACTTCCATCTTCATCTATCTCGAAAAGGCTGTGATGGTCCATCTCCTAAACTCTCCCCATGCCCCACGTTCCTATTACTGTAAAGGCAGCACCAACCTCCCACTTCCCCGGTTTCACAGCCTCAGAGTCTCCCTGGATTCTTCACTAGCTCTCCCCCCAGTTCTGCCCCTGCCCCCACTGCCATATCCAATATGGTGCCAAGGCCTCTGCTTTCACCTCTGCAGCATCTCTCTTCAGTGTGCCCCCTCCTCTCCTCTGATCCTGCTCCCACCCTGATGCAGACCCTCATTCCCTCACGCCTGGACTGTGGCAACAGCTGCTGGGGTTGGGGGTCTGCCTCCCCACTCCAGTCCATCCTCCAGCCACCAAAGGGATTTTCCTAAAGCACGGGTCTGACCACGTCACCCCCACCACTCCAATAGCTCCCTATCACCATCAGAAGCAAACCCTAAATGCTCTGCTTGGCCTTCAAAGCCCTTCCCAACGTCCCCCACTCTTCCCTTTCCAGGCTTCTTACACCTGATTCCCCAACACATCCTCTTTAGTGCCATGACCCCAGCCTCCCAGCTGTCCCCTGAGCCTGGAATGCTGGTCCTCCTCTACTCTGACCACTGACCTCCCAGCTCCCCGCTCCTTCCCAACTCCTCTTCATGCCAGGCTCCTCTCCCTGTTAGTTATTTCCTATTTATCCTGTATGTAGCTTGTTCTCTATTTTGTTGTTTTCATGTTGTGTCCCCCCCTCCACACCTCCCCATTAGGGTGTAAGCTCCTCAAGGGCAGAGACTGTCTTTTGCTTCTTTTTGTATCCCAGTGCCTAGCACATAGTAGGTACTTAATAAATGTTTATTGCTTGATTTCCTACCAAAGACCAGCAGCATTCTAAATGCTTTTCTCAAGTTCCAGAAAGGCAAAAGCCACAGCTTTGCAGAAATAGAAGTAGACGGTGCCACATGCATGTGCACACACACCCAAAGAGCATGCACTAAAAGGTGGGTGTGACCTTTTCTGATTTAAAAAAAGAAAAAGTGTTCTGATGTTGCCACAGGTACGATCTCTACCATGTAGGCTGGGCTCACTTTTTTCAGTGGGTCTTGAACCTGTCAGCCCAGGAAACCAGGGCTCAGGTCACTGACCTAAGCTGCCTGGGCCACAAGTGCGAATACCCCCCTTCCCTCAGGAGGCCTCTGACCAGCAGGCCCCAGCCAAAACGATGCTGTGTCCTTGCTGAATAGCCTTTCTCTGGCTCCCTGTGGGATGATCTGTAAGGAGCTAATTTCCTTCTAGATCAGATCCTGAGGCCCCTGAGGCTGCCCTAGGCTACATAGATAGGGTCCACTTCTTTCTCTTTCTCTTTTTCTTTTCTTTTCTTTTCTTTTCCTTTCCTTTCCTTTCCTTTTTTCTTTCTTTCTTTCTTTCTTTCTTTCTTTCTTTCTTTCTTTCTTTCTTTCTTTCTTTCTTTCTTTGTTTCTTTCTTTCTTTCTTTCTTTGTTTCTTTCTATCTTCCTTCCTTCCTTCCTTCCTTTCTTCTGTTTTTTCACTTTCCTTTTTTTATTAATTTTTTTTTAAGGCAATTGGGGTTAAGTGACTTACCCCGGGTCACACTAGTAAGTGTCAATGTTTGGTCTGAGGCCACATTTGAACTCAGGTCCTCCTGACTTCAGGGCTGGTGCTCTATCCACTGCACCACCTAGCTGCCCCCTATTAATTTTTTTAAACTTAAATTCTAAAAACTTAAATACAAAATAAGAAAAGAAATAAAAGTATTGGCATGCACACAGCAGAACATGATTCAAAATAGACAGTGATCAATATCCATTTCAAGAAGCCTATGTAATAAATACTGCACGTTGTGTCCAGAGCTGTCCATCTTTTCTTTGCTTCCTGGTGAGTTTTCCTTT